TCTCGGGAAGAGTAAACTCAGCCCAAGTGGCAAAAGAGAGGCTCCCTGTTGCAGCGCCGACTTGTGGCTGCCCCCTGGACGGTTCATTCTGCCCGCGATGCTGTAGAGCTCTTATGGATGTAGCCGTGCCTGGGCAAGATGTGTGCATACCTTGCAGGAGATTTACAGGACAGATGAGGTGTCTCCCCTGCGCACAGTGGTTTCAATCAGATATTTTATATTTGTAGAGGATTTTCAAGATTCTCTTGAGATGCTGTCCCATTTTCTAACCCAGTGGTCCTGAGAGCTCAGCAAGGCCATTAGATAGCATGTGGTAAACTTGACAAAGATCAGTTAACTGGCTCCAGCAGGAACTAAAACCAAGGCTTTTCAACCCGGACCACTGCTTCTTCTACCCTAGGTGATGGTCTACACCCAGGATGGTGAGGAGGCTCGAAGGTGTCAGAAAAATCCACGTCCATCTTTAAAACCAAAATTAGCGGAGGCTCCTTCATTTTGACTTGATGAATCAAATATCTTGTGTCCTGAACCCTTCAGAAAAATTGAGGAATAAGATGTGGCTCTTCTCAAACTTTAATCACCTGGGGATCTTATTAAAATACAGATTTCAACTCGGGAGGTCTGGGGTGGCGCCTGGGAGCCTGCATTTCTAACAAGCTCCCAGGTGATAGTTGTGCTGCTGGCTTACAGGGTCACACTTTGAGTAGCAATGAGATGGAGACGCTCACTAATTTCGCTACACTTTCAGCAGTAAGCTAATTGGACATGCTTGCCCTTTGCAATTCAGTGGTAGGAATTATGGCTCTGACTTCGCCGCTGCGAAAGGAATTGCTGACGCACAAGCTGGCATTGCTTGGGGAAGAGTTCTGTTGTGGATCGATACCGTAAAAATATTTATACCTTTTGGCCAAGTAATTCAACTGATGGATGTGAATTCTAAATGAATAGCCCAGCAGATGAAAAAACCTCTATGAACAATGGCGTTCTACTATAGCACTGTGTATACTGAAAGAAAATTTAAAGTCTGTGTCTAATAAAAAGTAAATGATTAAGCAACTTATAATAAATTCACTCAAGACAATATTGTAGACATGTTTATCTTCTCTCTTTCCCCCAAAGCAACATGTCACTAAGGAAATAAAAATAGTATGAACTCACAAGGTAAAGACATTAACAGATTAATGGTTTCAACACATTTTTCCAAGATAGAAAGTCTACAGAATTGGGGAACATAACCACAGGCTCCTGTTTCTCTGTTTGTCATGTTTCAATTTTTTAACTGGGCAGTGAGTACAATGGTGATTGCTTACAGTGTTTATACCTTTCTGTATGCCTGAAATGTTTTAAAATTTAATTTAAAAAAAAAAAGTGAATGGGACAAGTGACGTGTTGGGAGTGGAAGTTATTGTGACAGAGTGAGCCAGTTATTGATCCAGAGTGAGTGAGCCAAATCTGGCCTTGGCTCTGGGAGGCGCAGGGACCATGGAGGGGAGAATGAGGCGTGGGCTAACAGCTGAGGGACGGTCAAGTCTGTCTCCAGAAGCTTCGGACCCCTCCTGCCCCACCAGGAGACAATCTCTCCCACTCACCACTGCCAGAGGGGATGAGCAGTTTATTCTCCAGAGAAGTTGAGCCACATGAGCTCAGAACTCAGCATGTCAGATACCCTAAGGGGTCAGCTTAAAACAAGAGCATTAATGGAAGTTCCACATACTAAACTGTGGGACCAGGAGGACCAGAAAGCCGTGTTCCCTTTCCTCCCCATGGGAAGGTTCACAGCCAGGACTCCGATAACAGAAGACAGATTAACAAGAGAAAAGCATGACAAATGTAGCTCAGCAGAGTTTTGTGTGACACAGGAGACTTCAGAAATGAATACCCAAAGACCCAGGGAAAACTATTTTTGTGCTTAGGTTCTCAGAAGAATGGACAGCCATGTAGAAATGTGACTGGACAAAAGAGAATGATCTAATAGTAACAGACGGAGGGGGCAACCCAGCAAGGCCTGTCTGTTCAGATTCTTCTTGGCCTCTCTGAGTAGCATCCCTTCTTCCCAGGTGTAGGGCAGGGGCAGGACCCCTTTGGAATGAGGGTCTTCCAGGGAGAAGGGGGAGAGTGGCTTTTCTAGGTTTTATGGCCAGCTTTGGGAGAAAAGGGTTCTAGTTTCCCTGACCTCCCTTGGGGAATAAAAATTCTTGTTTCTATGACTTGCTCAGGAGGAAGAAGAGGGCAGGAGATAGGAGGATGGGAGAAGATCGGAAAGACTTTGCTTCTGAGGCCGTTTCAGTCTCCTGTAGTGCAAAGTACTCAGCAGGCCAAGGTGCCATACTCTAGGGTATCATGTTCTGAGCCCCAACAAACCTTTGGCCCCTCCCCTCCCCCACTCTCTACCCGAAGGCTAGAGACTATCAAATTACAACCTGTGGGCCAAATCTGCTTAATTCTGTTTTTCCAAATAAAGTTTTATTGGAACACAATCACACGTATTTGTTTGAAAGTTGTCTGTGGCTGTTTTCATGCTGCAGAATAGTTGCAACAAACACCATCTGGCCCACAAAGCCTATTTGGGCCTTGCAGAAAGAGCTTGCCAACCCCTGCTCTAGGGAAAAATAGATGTCCCCAGAGGAGAGATGCCAGATTCTTCCCTCATTTGAAGCTCTAGTGACAAGACTGGCAAACTGTCCCCTCACCCGACGCTAAAGCCCATCAGTGACAAGCCCTGTCCACACCCACATTCAGCCTCTAAGCAGGTGTTAGGGCCTCACTCTTAAAGCACAAACAGATGTCCAGAGATTTTCTAGACACTCAAGGAAAGCCCCAACGTGAAAGTGTGCAATCAAAATAAACAGAAAAAAGGAACTTGGAGAAACCAAAACCAATTCAACAAACAGAAGAAACTTACAATAAAAATATATTGTATTGAAAAAATAAATATATTTATATTTATTTATTTAATTTATTTATTAATTTATTTATTTATATTTAAATATATTTATATATTTATTTATTTATTTAATTTATTTATAAATTTATTAATTTAATTTATTTATATTTAAATATATTTATATATATTTATAAATATATAAAAATATATTGTATTGTATATTGAAACTTACAATAAAAATATATACAATAATTAATATATTCTGCGATATGAGAAGATATTTCATCCATAAGACAAGAACTAGATACTATGATAACCAAGAGTGTGAACGCTAGAAATGTAAGAAAGTGACAGCTCACAATAAAAAGAAAAGGTCAAAAGACAAAAAGACAAGGAGTTGAAAGATGGGAGGGAATATTATTAACAGATTAACAATTCAGGATGTCCGATACTTTTTAAAAAATTATAGAACAAGAAAACAAAGAAAATGGAGGGTATGAAATTAGCAAAGAAATAGTGTAAAATTTCTCAGAAAAAATTTTTATATATTGCACATGGTGCCCAGCACAGTGAATAAAAACAAGAGCCATACATTTCAGAGCACTCTAGCAATAAAGAGAAGATGCTAAGTTGACAGAGAGAAAAGAAGCTGAACAAAAGAACAGAATCAAAATGGATCCAGACTTCTCAATAGTAACATGGGATGCCCCCCAAAAAAGTGGAGCAATGCCTGAAAATTCTGAAGGAGAAGAATTTTTAACCTAGTGTTCTATGTCCACCGGTATCAGTCAAGTATGGAGAGAAAACAAAAACATTTTTAGACCTGCAAGGCCTCTGGTGTGCCCCTTATTAGGAAACTGCTAAAGGATGTGCTTCTGCATGACCAGAGAGTAAAACCAAGAAGCAGACATATTAATAGCATCCAGGGAACAAGGGCTCCGACACGGAAGGGAAGGGAGTTCTGGGACGATGATTTTACATCAAGTTTATAGAGAAAACAGCCCAGATTGGAGCAAGAAGACTCATGACTTTGGGGCAGAGGACCTCCAGGAGACGGGGGAAGGAACTGATTGATGATTTGACGTGTTTATGACGTGGAAAAATTATTGCTTGATGTTTTTACCGGTTTGTTAAAACACTGGTTTTTACAGGTTTGTTTAAAAAAGTGATATGCTACTTAATTGACTCGCAAGCAATTTCTATCTAGGTTAATTGATTTAACAAAAATTGTTTTACAAGTCTATTTGGAGGATTGTTAAAGGAAAAGGAGAGGCAAATTGGGAACTGCTGGATAGAAACTTAAATCTTTGTCCAAAATTGATAAATCAAGAACAGCTATAAAAGCACATAATTTAGAAATATACAGGTAAATGTTAGAAGAAACAGAAGGTAGGAAGTTAATGACTTTCTGACAAGGGATAAGAGCGAAAAATCATTGCCTTTGCTTTTTTAATATATATAATTATTTCATTCTATTTTATTCTTTTAACTACCTACATGCATTTTGATAAAAATAAAAAAATTAGTTTAATTTAAACAAACTATTAGTTAAAATAAATTATGTTAATCTATTAGATTAAAATATCTATTCGTTTGTAATTATAACTAGAAAAAATAAGTTGCCTTTTTGGAAAAATGCTTACGTTAACTCCTTGTGGTATGCCAGGATGTAAAGTCTTTATAATAAGAAAGTCCTTCAGTTGGGAGGGCTGGGCTGGAAGGCTGATGGAACCCTAGTATCTCCTTGTGCTCCAGATGCCTTGAGATCCATAGCCTCTGCGGGTGAGCAATGCAGAAGCAGGTTTGGACTAGTGTATCAATAAGGCTAGCATAACCAGGGAGCAATGCACCAAGGTTCAGGTGAAGAGTCAAGGGGGGAAAAAAGACATAAAATGCATGTGATGTTGCATACTATGACTGCAGCAATGCAAAAGTGATATGTTCTTAATGAGAAGGACAGATAAAAACAGTATGATTTGATATGTGGGAAGTGAGAATGGAAATAATTTTTACCTTTAATTTAGAACTATATGAAGACTGCTATGATATTTGTGTAAAACAGAATAAAAGGGTGTTTTTTAGGAAATCAGTGGCATTCTTTGCTTCCCTCTTGCAGCTTAATTGCGTACACGGAACAGTATGTGGAATATGATCCTTTGATAACACCAGCTGAGCCATCCAATCCTTGGATCAGCGACGATGTCACTTTGTGGGACATAGAAATGAGGTAAAAAAAAAAATGTTTTTAGCTTTGGGAGGAGGAAGGATGTAGAAAAAAAAATCCATAAGATCATAAGATTACCTTATTTCCTATCTTAATTTGATTCTTTTTATTGCTAGAACAGAAATCCCTCAAGTAACGTCCCAACTGAGTTCTACTTTCTCACAGTTCCTACCTCCTTATAGCTTTGATTTGCGCATAGATCCTTTGGGGCTTCCCTCTGAACTCTCTCTGACCCTTTGGGACAGTCCCTTACCATTCCCTAGTTCTAGCTGCTGGAAGGAAAGAATCTGTGGGTCCATTTTTTTTTTCCATGTTTGACAGCAACAGTAGTAACAATAATCGCAAGTACTTACTGTCTACTGGCCACACCCCATGGTAAGTGTCTCCCATTGAATCCCCTCAATGGGTAAACATTTTTATTCTCACCGTTGAGCAGATGAGGAAACTGAGGCACAGAGGAGGTCATGGACTTGCCCAAGGTCACACCAATCGTACGTGGCTGAGCTAGGACTGGAACCCAGGCAGAGGGCTCCAGAGGCAGGATTTGCGTCACTCTGGTCTTAGGGAGTATCTGGCAGCAGGAATTCCAGGCGGTAGCTCCTTCCCCGTGAGGGAAGCCCCGGGGTGTCTACTTCATAGCCGAGGAACTGAAGCCCAGAGAGACGTGGATCACTTTCAGAATTACAGAAAGCGAGGCAGATGAGTCTGGCGTGCTGAGTCCTCGCACCCCCTGCCCTCGGCTGGACGGCCTGTTATTTCAGGTTTCATTTCTCTATCACTCTCACATTGTATTGCACGCTTGCTCTTTCTTTAGCATCTTTCCCAGAAATGGAAAAACCTTCTAAAAAGGAATAAAAGTCATAGATGCGCATTATGAAAGTTCAAACTATCCAGATGTGCCCAAAGGAAATAATTCTCTCCTCCTCCAAGCCGATCTCATCTTCCAGGAAGAGCCTTTGTTTATGGTCTGAGGCTGTGGTTCCCTCACCGCACCAGGGCACCCTGGGGCACTGCAGGACTCACGCCGTGACCACAGGAGACTCTAAATATTTGAACGAAACACAGTGGTGTTGGGCACAGGTCAGATACTGAATGAACTACTAGCTTAAGGTAATTCAGTTTCAACTTCAGAGAACATTATATCCCTTGCGATGATGTCTCTCCTCTTTGCAAATCTGGGTTTTCAGAGCAGTTTCTGGGATAAAAAGCAAATACTGTGCAAAAATCAACATGCAGTTGGAAATGAGAGTGATAGGATATGATCTGATTCCAAAGTTTATGAAAATGTGCTGTGCCCAATAGGTGCACGTTGTGATTATTTAAGAATGAAATTAAAATATTTTTTCTTTCAATTTATATATATTTTAAACAGCTACTGAGTTGTTAGGACATAAATACATACTGAGTTGATTGGTCATGACCTTAATTAATGAAACTGTTAGGTATTTCTTTTGCCCCAGGGGCACTGTGGAAAATTTACTGAGACACTAAGGGTACCGTGAACTCAGAAAGTTCTAGGGTCTGTCCCTTTGGATTTTTTATGCATATATTATTACCCATTATTTTGTATGATTGGGTTCATTACACATGCTTGTTCAATAATTTTTAGTTAATAATATATCATGACAATCTATACATATAAACACACGTGGATCCACCTTATGCTTTTTAATAGCTACATAATGTCCTTTGGCATGAATGAGGTAAAATTTATCTTACCAATCCCTGGGCCATAAATATTGAGGTTGTATCCTTTCTTTTTTTTTTTTTTGCTGTCATAAACAATGACTCAAGGAACATCCTTACATACAAGTCCAATGTTTTCTTTAGTATAAATTTTCCAGGAGTAGAATTAAGAATGGGATGCTTATTTCAATTTTAGTTCATGTTCCCAGACCCCTCCTGAGCAAAACCATAACAAATTGTTTTCATACCCTTAGCTTAAAAGTGCCCATTTCCCCACATCCTTATGAACCTAAGCATTATCCATCTTTTTATCTTTGCAAATATGATACATGTAAAAAACTTCTCATTTTACTTTTTATTTCTTTGTTAATGTACTTGAGAATCTTTTCACATGATCATTAGATATACATTTTTCTTTTGTGACTTGCCTGTTCCCGTGTCCTTGCCCATTTTTCTGTTGGTATGTTTTGCTTTGGATATTGGAATTAAAACAGTCATATTTACTGAAATCATATATTTTATCTTTTGCCTGAGGTATTTTCTCAACCTCATTCTTTCTTCTTGTTTCTTTTTCTCAGCTTGCTCTATTAGTCAAGTTTTATATTAGCTTTTTTAAAACTCTAGTTTCTATTCTAGTCCTATTTACTTTTAAATGTTTTAATTGAAAATGTCATTCATTCATACAAATAATCGCAGAAAGTAGAAGTTTCCTTTACCTCCTCTAAATCGCATTCTTGACCAGACGCTGTGGCTCATGCCTGTAATCCTAGCATTCTGGGAGGCTGAAGCAGGAGGATCACTTGAGCCCGGGACTTTGAGGTTGTTGTGCCACAGGCCACTCTATCCCAGGTGACAGAAAGAGACTCCATCTCCAAAAAAAAAAAAGTAAATCTCATTCTTCCCTGAGGAATATTTTAAACCTGATATATTTTAAACCAACATTTTTTAACTTATATTTCTATGAACATTTAAAAAATAATATGTAGTATGTATCTTTAGTATGTATCTTCTTTTTAATATTTCTGATATGCCCTAGGTAGCTCCTTTTGATCTAATCCAAGAACTTAACTCTTTCTTTAACTCAGGATTTTTTTCTCTTATTTATTTATTTATGTAGTTATTTAAATTACTGCTGCTCTTTTGTTGTGCCTTTGTCTTTCAGGAAATCCTTTTGTGGGAATTCTGGGTCTCTGGAATGGGAAGCTGCCATATCTCTTATATTTTCTCTGTCATAATTTCCATCCCTTAGTCTTCACTCGATATTCACAGGAAAGGATGCCTGGGACTGCTCTTCAGGGTCCTCAGTCTGATTTTCAGTGGTGTTCGTTCTGTGAGTTTGTGCTTTCCTGGGTTTCTCTTTTCCTGCTGAGTGCTGGGAGGAGTGGTGGACAGTCATGCTTCTGTTTCCCAAGGCTTCTTAATCTAACTTCTTGGGCTGCTCTGTTCTTAGCAGCCTGCTCTGTTCTGTCAGTATTCACCCTCTTGAATCCCCCTGAAGATGTGGTACAGATTTTTTTTATATTTCTGTTTTTTTTCATATTTTCATCTCTCTCCTCTGTTTCTGCCACTTAGTCTGTTTCATTGGGGGTTACTTATTGGAGGGCGGTTGTTTCTAGTCGTTGCTTCATTACTCTGATCACTGCTCAGAGCAGATCATTCTTTTCATACGCCCAGCAACTTGGAGGACTGCTCATTTTGATAAATGAAGGTTTCGGCTTTTAATCCTGCACCACATGGGGATTTATTTAAAATACTAATGCCCTGGCCCCACTCAAAGCCAATTAATTCAGCATTTCTGGCAATGAGGCATTGGTGGTGTTTTTGGTTTTTGGTTGTTTTTTTTTTTCATCTTCCCAGGTGATGCTAACATGCAGCCCTGGTCTAGAACCATGTGGGGGGCTGCCGAGGGTCCCTCAGCAATTGTATGGGTCAGTTGTTCTCAAACCGTGCTGCGAGCAAGGACCACCTGGGGTGCCCGTTAAAAATACACATGTGCCGGGTGGCAGCGGGCACTCTCGGTGCTTCCTGGGTAGCTCACTGAGTTCCCTGGCTTTCCTCTGAGCAGTTCACGCAGCTTCAGGACGTCACCTGAGTGTATGAATGGGTGGACACAGGTAATTGTCAGGGTCCCTTCTGGGTCCCAGGTATGTGGTCCAAGAACAGACTGATGGACTGGGTCGTCCTCTCAGAGTGAGACAAGTGGCCACAGGGGACCTCAGGTGGTGGAGCCCCACCTTCCATCCCCACCTTCCTAGCATGACATCCCTGCAGCCGTGCTCCACTGTGTTTCCGGCCCAGTGGAGTTTCTGCTGTCCTCCCCGCCAGGGTGCTCCCCAGCAAGTCCACTCTTCTCCCTCTGCTGACGGGTCTTAGGAGAACCCAGTTAGATCCGCCGACACCACCGAGAAGCAGGGAGAGAGCTAGAGCGTCTTTAGAAATCTCCCTGCCTCACAGCGCTTGCAGAGTTGTCTCTTCTCTGCTTATTTGCTGCACTACCCTTAGGTTAACAGGAGCGCCATCGCTTGGTCATATTGCCCATATCGGAAGCTGACCAGGAACCATCACTTTAGCTCAGCAAACCCTTTCTGCCATGTGGAGCCTGTTGCATATTTCCGAATGTCTAATGTCTCCCATATGCCGCGTCTGGCAGCCACCCACTGCCTCTGCTTCCAGTCCTGCTGCTCACAGCTTGGGGCTTTCCCAGGCTCCTGTTGGGGACACCCATCCAGTCTCTTCTCTGATGTCTCTACTGAAATGATAGGCCGCTCTCACTCAGCTACGTCACAAGTTCAGTCCTCTGCTTCACGCCTTTCTGAAATTCCTCAAAGTTTATCACCTGCTGATAGGAAATGTCTTTGCCTCTACGTACCAGGTTTGGGGTTTTTTATACTTCACTGAACTCCAGGCTCTTGCCTGTTCCCTCTTCCTGGGCCACTCTTCCCCCTGACCCTGGCATGGCTGGCTTTCCTTCTCATCCAGGTGTTACTCCCCATTGGGTCCCTTCCTCAGAAAGACTTCCTGTGACCACCAGTCTAAAGTGGCCACTCCATCCCTTCAGTGGTTCAGTCGCCTCCTGCCTCTCATTCACTTTGTAAATAGGACTGAAAACTATTTTAGCACCTAGGCCTGTATGGCATACAGCAGGCACTATAGAGGTTGGAAGGAGGATGGACAGATAAGTGACTCTTTATTTGATCATTTTGTTGGTATTTGGAAGACGAAGGGAGGTAAGCACGTGAACCTAATTCACCATGATAAAGTGAATTTCCTCTTTTGTTCTTGAAAGGCAGCAAAGCAGCATATAATAGTTTAGAAAA